GCTCTGGCTGCAGGCCCTTTTGGGGGGGGAGTAAAAGAGGGGCGTGCTCTCTTGTCTGCCCTTTTAGCTAAGAGCGAGGTCTTTGTCATTTCATTACGCCCTGTCTGAACACACACAGTATCTGGGTGAAATAAACTCTTTTTTTGTTTTTCTCTTTTCAGTGTTGAACCAGCTTTCCAGTGGCGTCGTACGCTTAAACTCGCCTGAGGTGTCCTAACGTGTAAGGAGAGAAGAGCAGAGAGATGGGGGACGAAAGAGCCCAGGGATCTGGTATTTAATCTCAGCTCTGCTGCTGACCGGCAGACATTCAACACTTGACTTGTTTTGTGTGTGTGCTTTAGATTCTCCTCCCATAAACTGATGATAGAACCCGATTGCAATGCCTTTTTAGATCTTTTAGAAAGTTTTCAATTAGAAAAAAATATAGAATTTTGTTTGGAATTCTTCACCGCTATTATAAATGTGTGTATTCACTATTAGCAGTTCCATGTTTAATTCCTAAAAAAATTCTGAAACACTGTCTCTAAAAGAAAGTAAAATAAATGGAATCAAGATTTAAACAAGAAAGATTATTTCCTCAAGAAGAAATAAAATTATCCAACCCTCTACTTTCAAATAACACTAATGAAAACAAGGTCTAATATTTATCAAATGTTATTGTATACTTGATATAAGATATGTACATGTATATAAAATTAATATACTACTCCATAATAATTTGGGATTTGTCCTTTTAGAATCTTTGGCCCTGGCTGATGACCTGAGTGCAAAGCCACTGTCTGAAGGGAAGAGAGACTTGGACAAAGAATCTGTGTTAAACGTATGTCTAATGTTTTTGTCATACTTCTCAATGTGTTGAGGCGTTGTACACAGTGAGCATTATTTATGAATCACCCAGAGTTTTCCTAGATTTCATTTTTATAATTTCTGAATGATAGAGAGCTGATAACTAGGCCAGAAAATGTGATATATGCAATTTTCTTTAATATTGCTCCTAAAAAAAAAAATTCTAAAAAAGAGTGTAGTATAAATTTAAAAATTCAAATTATACTTAATTTCAAATGGTTTCTAGTCTTAATTGTCTCCAGATTTTGATTGTTTTTTTAAATTAAATGTTAAAGGGAGGGGATATGATCTCCAAAATAAGCAAAACGATGTTGATTATAAAATAATTACCCATACAGACACAAGTGTTCCCGGGCAGGTATTAGCAGGTTCATTAACATTCCATGCTAATAGTGACATTCATTTCTTTTACGCATGTTAACGTCACAATAGCTCCATCTCGTGGTTGACTAAATACTGCTTGAAGACTAATTTTCCTTTAGCTTCTATAGGATAACAAAAATGAAAAAGTGCTGGTGAGGAGAGGGAATTTTCGATATTATTAATTTCTTTGCAGCTGTTTGTAAAAAAAAAAAAAAAAAAAGGAAAAAAAAACAAAAAACAAAAAACAAAAAACAAAAAACAAAAAACAAAAAACAAAAAACAAAA